ACATTACTACTGGAAAAATCATATCTTTGACTATATGGATCTTTGTCTGCAAGGTGAAGTCTCTGCTTTTTAATATGCTATCTAGGTTTGTCATAGCTTTCCTCCCAAGGAGCAAGCGTCTTTTAATTTCATGGCTGCAGTCTCTGTCTGCGGTGATCTTGGAGCCCAAATAAATGAAGTCTTAATGTATTAATATGCATTAATACAACATAAATTTTTCAGGATACTATTTTAGGAAAGCTACTTGCCTGGTTTTAAGCAGAAGCCCATTTTTTGGTCTTGATTGAAATAAGTCGTTATGGAACACCATTCATCACCTTCATACATCTCATTGAGAATGCAATCATGATGCCATGTATTATTCAGTAAGAAAGGAAACTCACAAGGTTTTCCATAGGCATTCCCATCCCTGGTATAAATTTCTGCAGAAAAGCAAACAAAAATACATGCAATATTTTAACAGATCTGCAAATGTGTTTATGTGGTGTAAAATAAACATATTTTAAAAATTTGCTTTCAAGATACCCATGTGATCAGCAATTTAAAGATACTGTTGTGAATGGCAGCTGGTGCCAAATGGAGTTAGTAGGGCAGAGGGCAGCATACCAGCCTGCAGGAAGGGTCATGTATGCATGGAGCTTAAGAGTTGCATTAGGTAGAGCCAATAATAAGTGGAGCCAGAGGTTATGAACAATAGTAAAAAAAAACTTTAGGAAAAAAATTAGCTTCAAAATCACAAGGTGATGATCTGACTTATGTAACTTCAGGAACAAAAGCAAATTCTTCAAGTCTACAGTTTCCACTTCAACAGTGACCAACTCTGAATGCAAGTAAAACTATGAGATGAACAAAACACTTCTTGGAGCCATTTTTTTTTCTGCTTCAACCTCCCCAAAAAGATAAATAAAATTTACTGATTTCAAAAGTACAGGGAAAGGAAAGGTTGCACAATAAAGCACTCCTTTGAGCCCCTCCTTTTTTCTTTTCCACCAACAGCCCATTGTACAGATATGGAAGGAAGGAAACAAATTCATAAGCATGATAACAAAATAGAGAAAAATATGGAAAAATAAAGGGAAAAATAGTGAGTTCTGGCCATGTTTCCTGGGATACACAGACCCATGTGCCACAGTCAGGAAAAAAGTAGAAACAAAAATGATAAAAACGGGGGAAAGAAAAAGGAATGAGGAGCTACAGGAATTTCCCTTTTTCAAACCCCTCAACCCTGCTTACAAGGCCACAGCATTTTAAATTAAAAATAATAAAGGAAGGACTTCCATAACTCCTCACCTAAAAATTCATGCATATGGACACACATAAGCCCCCCAAGGAAACTATGCTAATTGCTGACTGCTGCTTCCTACCATCCTCATTTGAGGTTATAAGTGAAGAAGGCTTGGAAGACCTACCAGGTGCAGTTGCTGATTATGCTGAATGGCTGTGAACATCCTACAAGATCACCATGTTATGAAATAAATAACTGGGTCTCTGCTCTCTTAAGAGACTCACTGGGAATGCCTTATAGCCAGAGAACAAAGAGGGAAGCAAAAAGTCATCAGATACTTGGAGCACTAATCATTCCAGCCAGTGCCAGAACTGCATTAGTTTTTAGCCTCCAGGATATCCACTATCAATCTTCAGATGCAACAGAAGGGGTCGACAGGCACACTATTGCCTGTGGGGCCCGAGCTGGGAATCTAAATGCATAACTATCACAAGACAACCTTAATACAGGTAGTCCTCGCTTTCTGACTGCCTTGTTTAGCAACTGTTTAAAGTTACGACAGTTAAAAAAAAACACAGCTTTGTGATCAATCCTCGCATTTACGGCTGTTGCAGCATCCTGCGGTCATGTGATTGCCATTTACAAACTTCACAACTGGCTTCCAACAAGCAGAATTAATGGAGAATGTGGAAGTGAAATCACAAGTCACAGTCACGTGATGTCTCGCTTAATGACAGCGGCGATTTCCTTAATGACAAAAGTGGAAGTGACATTGTAAGTCTGGCACGGTCATGTAATTTTTCACTTAGTGACCGTGGCGCTTAGCGACAGAGTTACCGGTCCCAATTTTGGTCGGTAAGTGAGGATTACCTGTACAATATTATGTAAAGATTATTTTGATTAAAGAGCTCAACTACAATGCAGAGAAATTTGCACAGGTTTTGTGATTTATATCATGAGCAAAATGCTTTGTGTATCATTTGCACTCTACTCAACAAATTTGTACATTCAAACTCTGAATCCATAATGAAACCATTCCTGTACTAAACCCACATCTACAGAATACATTACTAGCTGGGATTCATTAAACTCTGAAAGGCACCCTTCAGAATTATTACTATTATTAAACAGAATTATTATAAGAAATATATAACCATTCAGAATTATTTATCGTCTGGGGTATTATTTTTTTAATTGTCCTGATTCTTTTGCTATCACTGGTGTGAATGCAGAGCAGATACAGGACAATCTTTCTGGCCCTAAGGGCTGCATATGATACTGACGCTGCAAATGAAACCTGCCTTTGTTAGGCTAGAGAACAGGCATCTCTTCATATTGGCAAGGAAAGACTGTACAATCTTCTCACGTGAAGTGGAAGAACAGCAACGGAACGAGCCCTTGAGAAACTAAAGATCATCCTCCGGTAATTCCAGCAGAGATTACTGCACTGGCTTGGCCTTGCTAACAGCAGAGCCCAAACCACAATACGTTTCTCTACTGCCCTGCTGAAGAAGCAGGAGGTGTTGGTTTTGAAAGCTCAGAAAGGAAACAGTAAGCAGATACAAATAGCCTGAAGTGGTCTAGGGTTAGGTTAGGTCACAAGAAAAAGGCCTGTGAATATGGGATCTCCGGTGACTTTGCTGTAATAATTATAATTAATTTGTACAGCTGTTAAATTTAAGTATGTTAAACAGAAATTAAAAAACAAAGCAGTTCCTGCCCATGGGGTTATAATTTAATAAACTTTATAGAAAAGGTCTAAGGAGTGGAGTAGAAGAAAGGGAACAGAAGAGAAAAACAAATACATTCATTCATAGTTATGTAAACACAACGATAAACATGGCTAGAAATAACTGTGTGATACAGACCTCATCAACCAAGTGGCTGCACAGAACAAGGCAGAAACACAAAAGATGCCTTGAGGTAATTTCCATTTGTTTGTTTAGACATGCCCAGTGTTTTCTACAGTGAGTAGAAGACAGAGTAGCTTTGTACTCTAAGACCTAGTGGAACTCCATGTTTTCTGCACACCAACCATAGAGAAAGGATAGCTAAAAAGGAATTGAGAAGACTTCCCCAAGGCTCCTTCAACTTGAAAATAATTTCATTAGTATTTAAGTTAGAAAGGCGGGGGGGGGGGGGGGCTGACTTCACTGTTATGGCTAGTTCCACCATTCCTTATAAAGGATTAAGTTTAAAGCTTACCCCCCATAAAAGAGGCAGAAAAAACAGAGTTAAGCAAAAGTGAACATCATTTCAACCGGTCGCTAAAAGCAGGAACTTTTATGATCCTCTTGTCCACCACATGCTTTTTCTCCCTCTGAAGGCTGTAGGGGACACTGAAGTGGCAAACTTGGGGGTCTGATTTGGAGGGCTCTGGGAGACAGCTTACTTAAAATAGGTGTGGCAAACTTGCCAGAGGCTTGATTTATCTATTTTTAGGGCTTATTTTATGAAATAGAAAGGAAAAAATAAACCAACCCACTATTAAAAACCAGCACTTTACTTTTAGATGTTAACAGCATGAACTTATAGAAATTGGGCAGAGGAGCACTTGAACCTGTGAATTACCCACCCCTATGTTAAAACATGATTTAGTGTAACATCAGAATTCCATTACAGAAGAAATAAATCTTGTATTCTTTATAAATGTCAAAGGTACAAAGATTTAAGTGTAAAGACCATTATCAAAAACAATGCCAACTATCCTCCAAAAAAACCCAGCATTACAATATTTCAGATTTTTCCACCTGATATTTTCTTCTGCAAAGAATCTGTTTCGTTCTGCAAAAATGTAATAATAATCTGAGCCCTTTTAAAAATCATGAGGCCATCCAAAGGACTGTGCATGTTTTCCAAAGGAATATCAACTATTTGCAATGTTTACTTAATGCCCCCCCCCATACATTCCAAAATGTTGGGGACCCTCTGAATCAACATTCTACCAAATGGTCCCCAGGAATGGATTTCAACTTCCCAAATTCTAAGCCAGCATGGTCACAGGTGAGAATTCTGGCAGTTGCAGTCCCCACATCTGGAAAGAATCTAAGTTAGCACGTGAACAGGAATGTCTGAATTCTAGACCATCATGTGAGCTTGTTAATTAAGGTTATTGCCATTTAATGATCACTTGATGCAAAACTCAACTGGGAAATGCCCCCTTTCTTTTGAATGCCTTAGAAGTCAGCATTTAACCACATTCTTGTTCAAAACCTTCTTTCCTTTCTATAAATGAAAGAAAATACATACCACTATATGGAATTTTACAAATCGTATCGCTGGAATTGCTTCTTTTCCAAGTATCAGAAGAGTTTAGGCTTACAGTGACAATTCCATTCTTTAAAGCTAGTTTGTTTTGAGATGCGGAAAAGATGGAATCACCAACACATCGCCACCACAGAATGAGATCTGAGTCACAAGCGTACATTTTTAAGGTATTTGGAGACTTGGCAGTCTCTAGTCCAAGGCACTTTCGGGATCCCAAATTAAAAAGGCGATGCTGAGAGACCCATGTCCATAAGTTCTCGTCTGTCTCCTCACAACCTCCTGCTATTAGGCGCTGGCTTTTAACTTGGATGCATTTATTAGAGTTTTCATGCCGGATGGTGAAAAGATTGTCATCTGCATGGAGAAAAGAACATATTTTGGTGATTTTTCTGCTCTAATTTGCAATAGATACAAAGATATTACTGAAAGAACATTATATAGTATATATTGGAAAGCACTGTCAACATTCAGTTCCGTGAGAGCGCACCTTAATAATTACCGTAAAGACTTATGTTTATTTAAATGCTTGCAAACAGCATTCTCTGGCCAGCTTTTAACAACAACAACATTACATATAGTTTTTGAAAGATCATTAAGAAAGCAACATGATCTCAGGAGCAAATAAAGCAATATACAGACAGTAGTATAACTCTGTACTCAAAGTTCAGAGGGCCTGGAAAAATAACAACCACCATCATCATCATCCTTGGGAAGGACTCGGTAGGTGGATAAAAATGCTAAATCCAGTCTGAACATCTGGCTGACTGTGTGACCAATAATAATAATAATAAAAATTCATGTAGCACCAAAAAGCCTATCTGTGAAAGGCGTTCCGTGAGATAGCACCTCTGCTCTTTTCCCTTGCAAAAATTCAGCTGATCAACAGATGGTAGTAAACTTTTTAGCTGTTTGCCCTCTAGTGGTCCCCTGGATTTTTGAAGGCTAAATCTGGTAGTCTTGTGTACTATCTACCCAACAAACATCTTATGAAAGGAGCATTCAGAGAAAGGCTTGCAAATATAATAAGATTTTAATAATAACTTGGTGAAAGGTGTTATCAAAACCAAAAATGGAGTGGAAGCCAGTAGAGATGATAAAGTAATGGTATACAAGTGGTCCTTGTTTAACAACCACTTGTTCAGCGACTGTTTGAACTTACGAAGTTGTTGAACAAGTAGTAATTATGACCTGTCCTTACATTTACATCAGTTGCAGTGTGCCCACGGTCACGTGATCACGCTCTGGGCACTCAGCTAGCAATTACAACATTGCAGCACACTGCAGTCACGTGATCTCCATTTGCAACCTTCTTTGCTGGCTTCCTACAAGCAAAGTTAATGGGGAAGCCAGCAGGAGGTTGCAAATGGTGACATGACCTCACTTAATGATCTGTGGTGATTCACTTAATGACAGCAACTGGAAGTGCTGGAATTTCCATCACTAAACTTTGCAGTCACGTGACATTGCGCTTTACAACATCACTTAGTGATGGAAATTCTGATCCCAATTGTCCTTATTAACTGAGGACTACCTATAATATGTTCAAGATACTTAGTACTAATAGCTTCTTGAGTTCTTTTGGGGCCATTCTCAGCAGAAGTTCCATGTGTACTGTATTGCACAATCCAAACAGGGTTGTCAGAGCTCAGATAACTACATTTACCTATATCCAGATACTGTGAGGTCTGGCGTATCAACTAAAATTAATAAAAGGATTCAGAATCAGGGGCTACTTGTGCTTCTAAATGATGCTGCTATATTAATCCGAATCCCCAATGGTGAACCTAATCCTTTAAACTCTTGGTAAATTCATGGACATGTCCATGCAATTTTCTTCATAGTAATGCAAAAGTGGCTTGCAACTGCTTTCTCTCAGGATGTTTTTTCAACTTCCCTAAAATACTAAGCAAGTCTAGCCCTGCTTAGCTTCTAATCCCAGAGAAAGTTGGCCTGGTGAACTTTTCTAGTAAGATCCCCAATTTTCTAGTACAATCTTTTATCACATTCACCATGTTGTCTAGATTAAACCAGTTTATTAGCCTTTATCCAGTCCTTAAGGATGTAATCCTAAGCGCTTACTGTTTAATCCACTAATTTAGAAGCATGTTCCACTGAAACCAACAGGCATTATTGTTGTATAAATGTATCCTGAATAGAAATATAAGTAATTTATTATAAATCTGATGCAAACTGAATTAATCAATGTAATTCATTAAAGAAATAAAGGTAACTGGAATAAGATTATCTGTAAAATGAATTAAATATCTGGTTTAAAAAGGATGGATCTATTTTATACCTATATACTTATGTTTTAATGTGTTATTCGTTTTAAAACTGCAACACTTTTAAAATGAATTTGAATATTTTTTAGTTAATGGAAACCAGTAAGTTACCCAATTCTCTAAAACAGTTTTCTAGAGTTTAAACCAATTAAACCCTATTTGGTGGTACAGAAAAGACCACTGCTCTCTAGCATGATCGCTAAACTTCACATCATAATGGCCTGATGAGAACTGAATTTTAACTGCTATATGCATTTAACTTAGGGTAAAATTATATTTTTTGTTACGCTTACACTGAATAACATAACCCAAGATCGTTTGTTGAGCCCACTGAATTGTGCAGAAATGGCCAGTAGGTTTTCCTCAGTAATAATTATCTATTACTCAATTACAATGTCTTTTGTGGTGCATGAAATATATTTATAAAGAACATTTATATTCATAAAATATATTTATAAAGAATTTATATTCTTTAATGACTAAATTAGTAATAGATTTCTAAAAATCGCAGCAGTGAATTAATCATCCTGTAAACGGAACATATGCAGAACTTTATTTGAAACCACCTAAAATAACACATTAATCTGGGATTGGAAACATTTATTTGCAATTTATTAGCCTGAATGCTGGTGTTTTGTATGCAAAACTTCTATCTAGAAAAAAGTATGTTTGTGCATTTGCAGCCTGCTCAGGGCATTTTCCCTGGAGTCACGCCTCAAGCAATCTGTGGGAAGAAAACAATTGTGCTGTGTTCAATGTATTTAACTGAAATGCACTTTGGAAATTCTGCTTGATTTTGAAAATGTCCCCCACGCACAGGGTGGATTTTTGAACACTCAGATGAATAAATAAATGTACTCTCCTCAACAAGAAACCCGGGGAGGGGGATAAATAGTGATTCATCTTCAGTTTGCTAATGTGGCATGAAGACATGGATAATGGACATGTTTACTGGCATGGTGTTCAGGTTTTTAATAAGTAATGCAGTATCTTGTTAATATGTTTGATTTATTATTTCATGCTCTATCAACGTTTTTTATAACTGAGCAAAGCAACAATGCTTTAGTAGAACAAACCTCTTCTGGGACAAATTCCTCTTAAATGCATTTATGAAATAGATGGAAATTGATTAAAATCTTATCCCTGACATTACATATAACATAATAGCTTGCTTTATTAACATTAAAGAAAAATGCAAAATAAATAAAATAAAATAAAATACCCTCCCCACAGTAATTAGGATTTTTGTGTTTAGCAAACACATTCTGAAAAAGCATTATTGAAAAACAGCAACAAAACATCTCTGCAATTTTTATTTTCCTATTGTTTTCTTTGGCATACAAGAATCTCTTTAACTTTGTTACTCCCTGAGATTGAACTCCCACTTCTGCTAGTATTCACCCTCATGTTCTACAGGTAGAGCAATGTTTCTCAACTTTGGCAACTTTAAGATGTGTGGACTTCAACTCTCAGAATTCCCCAGCCAGCAGGCATGTCCGCACATCTTAAAGTTCCCAAGGTTGAGAAACACTGTTCTAGAGCAACAATAAGTAAATCCCAAGTTCTTTGTGATAACTCTGTTAGTGTAGTAGGTACTGCTTATTGTTTCCACACTATCTGCAAACCAGGAATTGGCTAACATACTGTAACATTTTAAATAAGCAAAAAGTTCAATAAATCTCACTTAAGCAACTTATTTTTGACAGGTGGACACATAGTAAACAAAATGTTGATAAATATTACACACACATGAAAATATTTCAAGGTATAAAGGCATTATACAGCTATGTAATTTCAAAGTAAACTATGAAACATTGGAGGATGCTCTTCCAATGATGCAAGGAATGACAGAGAAGAGGTAACAGTTTTGTGAGAATGTTGAAACAAGCACTGTGACATCACAATACAAGCTCTGCCCCTTATTTATTTACTTATTTACTCAATATATATAGCCACCCATCACACTTTTATGTAACTCTAGGTGGCTTACAATAAAACAAATAAAAACACAAAATACATAATATAAACAAAAATAAAAACACACAGCAGCCAGGCATGTTCTAATCCACCATCCATACAACCAGGAGATGGGCTGTAACCCATACCCAGGGCCCCATGCTCGAACGCAAAGCCAGGTTTTCAAGGCCTTACAAAAGGCCAACAGGGATGGGGCCAATTTAATCTCAGGGGGAATGATGTTCCAAAGGCCAGGTGCCACAGCAGAAAAGGCTCTTCTTCTGGGCCCCGCTAGTTGACACTCCCTAGCTGATGGTACCTGGAGCATGCCCTTCCTGCCAGATCGGATAGGACAAGTAGAAACAATTGGGGAGAGATGGTCCTGTAAGTAACCCAGTCCTAAGCCGTGGAGGGCTTTAAAGGTGACAACCAGCACCTTGAATTGCACCTGGAAGCACACCAGAAGCCAATGCAGCTTGGGGAGCAATGGTGTCACATGTGCCAAGTAACTGGCACCAGTAACTGCCCGTGCTGCTGCATTTTGCACCAGTTGAAGCTTCTGAATACTCTTCAAGGGCAGTCCTATGTAAAGCACATTGCAGTAGTCCAATCTGGAGGTCACAAAGGCATGAGTGACCGTGAGCAGGGCCCCTCGGTCCAGGAACAGGCGCAACTGACGCACAGCCCTTAGCTGTGCAAAGGCCCTCCTAGCCACAGCTGCCACCTGCTCTTCAAGCAGGAGCTGCAAGTCCAGGAGGACCCACAGATTGCACACTGGGTCTGGTCTGTCTGGGGCAGTGCCACCCCATCCAGAACCAACGATAAAGGGTCCCTGGAACCAGGAGGTCCAAAAACCCAGAGCCACTCGGACTCGCTTGGGTTGAGCTGAAGCCTGCTGCATCCCATCCAGGCCCCTAGAGCCTCCACGTGCTGAGACAGAACTTTCATGGCATCACTCAGATGGCCTGGGATAGAGACGTAAAGCTGGGTATCAGCAGCATACCCTCACCAGCAGCTTCATGTAGATGTTAAACAGAAAAGGAGGTACTACCAAGCCCTGAGGCACCCCACAAAGGAGGGGCCACTGGCTGGATCTTTCCCCATCAACAGCAACTG